CGCTGGCGGGTACCAATTTTTCTAATGAAATACGTACTCAACAAATGTTCACGATTGACTTCCACGGTGAAGGAATAACATCGTGCAATAAAAATCAAACCCGCAAAATTATAATTTGCGTAATTACTGGTGGTAGGACCTCTTGTGAGTCCGCACGGGTAGGTACCACCGCCCCGCCTATTTCTGCCGCGAAGCAGTAATGCGTTTCGGTTTGAAGGGTGGGGCAGCCGTTGTGACTATACTGAAAACTTAGAACTGTATCTCAAGGTTTGCGGCGCATTTACGTTGTAGATGTCTGTGGGCTCCAGTAACCACTTAACACCAGGTGGGCTGTGAGCTCGTCCACACATCTAAGCAATAAAAAAAAAAAAGAGCTCCAGTTACCACTCAATAGCAAATGGGTCAACTCACGTTAAATGTCAAAGTGGGCGAAGACATTCGAGCTGTGCTATTAACATCAGATGCCCCGCGAACTTGTCAAGCATCAGTGCGCTCGGTGCGAGTTTTTTAACGGTCTCGATAGCGTCGACGTTTGCCTACGTTTGCCGCTAGGGGCGCTGTTCCAACTGCATACAAATTTAGTTAACTTTTACGATATCGAGGACGTTAAAAAACTCGCACTAAGCACACTGAATTAATAAAACAAGAAATGGACAGTTCGTACAAGTATTATGGGTTAATAGTGTTATTAAAATTTATAACCAGATAACTTGTTTATTTTATAGATATATTGTTTTTATATATACTTTGTTGTATGTGATTATATATATATAAAGTGTATGTGTTTGTATATGTATGAAGTATTATTATCAGTTTGGTTATTTTCACATTAAGTTATGCACCTACCACAGGATTCTCTACATCACCCTTGGTTGACTGGTAGAGAATGCCTCAGGCATTAAGTCCGCCATTGTACTTCTGTGCATTAAGTTAAATAAACAAATATATTGTTACACATTTTATATGTTATTTATACGTTATTAATGTTTAGAAGTTATTGCTAAAGAAGAATGCTGAAGATACCTAATTACGTGTACGGGCCCAAGGATACCACAATCCCTCTAGACGTTAACTTCGGCCAGTTCATGCTGGGAAGAATGTGGATGTACAAAGACAGGATTGCACAGGTAAACTCGTAAATTGAATATCCATACTGCTTACTAAATTTTAACGCTTTTGCCCTGGCTGTATGTCGTGTATAACTATACTAAACTAACTAATCTGTAATTCGATCTAAGCTAACTACTCTGTGGACTTTTTGGCGGGAACGCGAGGAGTGAAGTTGTGTGATTTGTTTTATTTTGTCTATTTAGTGTTTCTTCGGGTTTAAATGTGTAATAACGGTGGTTTATTAACCGTTTAATATCTGTGAAAGTGCACAAATGTGGGGAAATGAAACAAAGCCGCTGGACGTAACTACTCGGGATCCTCCAAAAAGTCCACTGAAAAAATCTTAGTAAATGACCACCATTTTACTGAGATTATATTATTATTTCATCCCATATCATCTCATTTAATTTCATCCCAGTTGATTAATGTCTCAAATTAATCATCTTCATTTCATTTCACTCCATAATATCATTTTTCATAAAAATATGAATATACATTAAAATAAGACATGACTTAAAGGTCTTAGTTACCAGATCATAAAATCCCTTAAAAAAACTACTCTGTAATTTAAAACATAATCTGTATTTAACTACTCTGTGTCACTAAAAAATTTTACGGGGGAAACATTTCAGCTTCTTTACTTCATCGTTTAACTAAAATACAAAAATGAAACAAGCATCTCTAAACAAATTATTCTAGAAATATAAATAAAGTCTCATAAGCAATAAAACTGGACTTCATTGTATTATCAGATACCTATCCGGTCACCGTCGCTTGCGACGAAGGGCTCGACGAGCGAATTAACCCATAGACAGTTAGACACAGCCTACTGAGTTTCTCGCCGGATCTTCTCAGTGGATCGCGTTTCCGATCCGGTGGTAGATTCTGCGAAGCACTGCTCTTGCTAGAGCCAGTGTTAGTAACACTCCGGTTTGAGCCCCGTGAGCTCACCTACATGTTAGGACAAAGCTGAAATAGCCTCTCAGGGCTATCGGCATAGGTAGTAAGCAAAAAAAGATACACTAAGTAAATACAAATATTATCTACGAAAAAGATTTTATGTACCATATTTTTTATGGAAATACGTAGGTATCTAATATTAAATATTTCCACGCTGAAGGAATAACATTTTAGAAATAGGATTTTTTTTATTTATTATTATTGAAGGATTACTGGTGGCCCGTAGGCCTTTCCAGATTCACCAAGACAGGTGGGCGAGCAAAGTCTCAGCCAGGAGGGGTGGGATTTGCTAACAGCTACGGTACGGTTTTACGGTAGGCAGCGGCTTGGCTCTGCCCCTGGCATTGCTGAAGTCCATGGGCGACGGTAACCACTCACCATCAGGTAGGCCGTATGCTCGTCTGCCTACAAGGGCAATAAAAAAAAAAAAAAAAGCTATCCGAGCGCCTCCGAAGGAGACTTAACAACTCAAGAGCAACTGCTTGGCGAATGAATTCTACTATCGGATCGGAATCGCGACCCGCTGAGAAGATCCGGCGAGAAACTCTGCGAGCTGATTCATGGGTTAGGTTGCACGGCGAACTCTTTGTCGAGTCCGACGAGTGCGGTTACCGGGGTCCCTAAGCCTGCTCCTAGTGTTAGAGCTGAAGGCGTCTAATGCAAAGGTTATTGGATCAGATGGATCCGTAAGGACGTGTCTAGGGCGTCGACGGTGACTGGCTCCTGCGTGATCAGGATTCGGAGAGTAGTCAGCGGCGGCAACGATAAGGCGATTATCATGACGCATAGCCTTATCGAAGTACCGTTCCGACGCTGACTTCATGTATTTCTGAATAGATTCGAGGCCCAGGTCGTCGTGTAGGTCAACGTTCCTCACGAACCACGGAGCTCCGACGGCTAACCTGCAAAAGCGGGATTGTAGGGATTGGAGGGTGTCTATGTGTGTGCGGGCCACGTGAGCGAACACCACACTCGCGTAAGTCATGACGGGCCTTATGCAAGTTTTGTAAAGTGTCACCTTGTTCCGAAGGGACATTTTACTCCGCTTACAGATCATGGGGTAGAGTCTACCGAGAATAAACGCGGCACGGTCACGGACTGATTTTATATGCGGGCGGAATGTCATGGATGCATCCAGTGTAACGCCCAGGTACTTGACTTTCCTGACCCAGGGTATGGGTTGTCTAAAGAGAGTAATCGGGGGTGTGAGATTCCTCCTCCTAATCCGGGAGGAAATCCGTGTGGAGCTTCCCCTCTGAAATAGCACCGCAGTACTTTTCGCTGGGTTGATGTCTATGCGCCATTTTCGGAACCACTGTCCTAGGGCTAGGGCTGCGCTCTGAAGTTTCTTCGCGATTAGGGACTTGTTTCTACTCGAATAGTAAGCAGTCGTATCGTCGGCGAATAGAGCTAACCGAGTCGGTGGCGACCAGGAAATATCGTTGACGAATAAGCTAAACAGGAGGGGCGAGAGGACAGAGCCTTGCGGGACTCCAGCTGTGAGAAGTCGCGGGGAGGAGTAAGTTCCCTCGACTCGATATCGAAAAGAAAGAAATAGGAATATCCATTCCGTCAAATATATGAAATGCAATCATTGGTAGTAAGATGTGTTTTGTGAAGACCGGACGGGTAGGTACCATCATCACGTCTATTTCTGCTGATTCTACTTCACTGAAATAATTATAATCTTATGAACACGATACATACACGTGTTTTGTCGTATGATAGCACACAAGGTATATTTTAAATGGCTATAAACAGAAGATCGATATCGAATTGACAATAACAAAGTTTTACGAGTTTTTATTATTGAGCTGAGAGCTCAGTGTAATTAAATTGTAGATAATGATTATCAAAAAATTATTTGCTTAGCTTAGTTGGCGACTCGAATTACAATAATCAAACGAAACTTCTGAAATAATGTGGATAATGATAATGTTACGCGCTGGGGTTCGGGATAAATTTCTAAAACAATTCTATCTCTCATCAACCGAATGATCATTGTTCTATACTCTTCGTATGTACTGCGTTACTTATAATATTTTGTATTCAAGTTTAACAATATTTGCTATGTGTATGTGCATTACTATAATTCTCATGTTGTATTTGTTATTTTAGCTGTTCTACACACACTCATCACTTTTAATTATTATTCTCGTAATCCTCTTGCAGGTCTGCTGGAAGAGATTTCTTAAAGAAATAAGCAGTGTCTTTGTACATAATTTTCCTATTACTCTGTACTATGTCTTCTTTTTTGTGTGTACATAAATAAATGAATAAAAAATTCTACGGAATTAAAAAGTTAACACTGTATTAGCACTTAGAATACTTAAAACACTCAACAAACACTTTAAAACTCTCGATTCGCTTCTTCCGCTTCGCTTCAGGTGATCCGTTTGCTGTTTCGCTTCGAGTAGTTCCGATTACTGACTGACTACATGCCGTCTCTGCAACGCTTTTATAGTCGATACCTCATCCCTAGAATTATCGAGAATATTCCACACATTTCGAGTATTGTGTTTCCGCTATCTGACAATAGATGGCGTTGTAGTTCTCGAGCGTTCTAAATGCTACTAGATTATTCGATATTCGTTCGGCTATTCGGCGATAGATGGCGTTACTCTTACCGACGTAACAATAATAAAAAAAACGTAAAAGTACTCGTAGTTTTAATTGCGTCTACTTCACGCGAAAATCTATCGCTTTAATCCTAACTAGTACTTTACGCCTCGAAGTCGAAGTTCTTTGTAAGCTCTTCTTCTTTCAAATATCAAATTTCAGACGAACGGAGCCACGGGCGAAAGTTTTACTTACAAAGAAATCGTCCAGCAATCTATGAAATTCGCCGTCTCGCTTACTCGGCTTGGCGTGCGTAAGGGAGAGACGATAGCCCTATTTTCTGAGAACAGAAGAGAGTATTGGCCTGCCGTTATTGGGACGGTGTGTGTTGGCGCCATTTGTACTACTATAAGTAGTATGTATGCTGAAGGTACATATGTCTATAAATATGTGGTATAGATTTTTTTTATTATTTTTTTATTATTATGTTTTTGTTTAAGCCTTGTCAGGAATTACAGTGGCATCTGTAATCTTATCGCTAGCTAGTTATCTAATCTATCTAATAACTAGTTATCTATTTTCTATGTCTACTCGCTTCAATGAGATATCTAGGCATGTCAGAGAGAGACGTTAATAAACAAAAAAAAACCGCTTAAAAAAAAGACTATTCCAAACAAATTAATATGCACTAAAAAGTAAAAAAATAATAATTGCGTATTCTTCTATAACTTAATGTTACGGTATTAAATGTAATGTAGTTCCATTTACATATTATTATAATTATTATTTTTGAAGCCGGTGTCATCCAAAGTAGATTTGTAACTACATACATGATATTTGCTAGTTAAACAATTTATTATTACATAATGGATTCATGTTAATAAAAAATACACATATTATAACTACATATGAGACAATCAACTCTAAAAATGAACCTAAAACTAAAAACCATAAAAAAATATATATATAAACCTGATACCTGATACCACGCACAAGATATACTTCGACATAGCCATACTAACTAACAAAACTATACACAATAATAGGCCAGATATAACTGTAATTGATAAAATAAATAAAGTAGTGCATTTAATAGACATAGCAGTTCCTAAAAAATACATAAATATACAGAATTAAAGGATGAAATTACTAGCGTTTGGAAAATGAATAAAGTATATAGTGCCACTGGTGCTTTCCAGCACTGGAGTCATACCAAAGTACCTTCACCACTCCATCAAGCTATTTTATATTTATATTATATACATAAATCTAATATATAAAATTCTCGTGTCACAGTTTTCGTTCCCATACTCTTCCGAAACCGCTTGACCGATTCTCATGAAATTTTTTATGCATATTCAGTAAGCCTGAGAATCGGCTACTATCTATTTTTCATACCCCTAAGTGATTAGGGTTGTCCACCCCTAACATATTTTTTTTTATTTGGACATTTTTTTTGTTATAATGAGGTATTATGTGGTTGAATGAGGTTTTGTTATTTTTATTATAATATATTCCCTCATCGTTCACAGCACTACATACCTCTTTCACTCATTTACCACATCCTTACACACTTACAATAAGTTCGCTTTTTTTTCTACACCAGGAATTCCCTAGAAATCTTATATATGGCAAAACAATGTTTGCCGGGTCAGCTAGTATAAATATAAATATAATACATGCAAAAAGCCACAATTCTAAATACGTACCGGATTGTTCGGAAGTTTTTGCAGGATGAAACATCGGACAACACTAAAACTGAAAATGAACTCTACTTGGCGTAGGTCCATGGTTTTTCAGTATTTACCGAAATTCATAAAAATTCGAGAATAAAAACATTGTACTATAATAATAATAATTTAATAACTAAAATATATTATTAAAAAGAGTCCCTTTAGGCAAGGTTCCGAAGACACTAGCAGCGTTCCCCATTTGAATAGTTAGACTAATTCATTGTCCAAGGTAGCTGCCAGCTCTTTTGCCTCCAGTGATGTCGACTAAGCAATTAACATTTCTTTAGAGGTTTCGTCTAAAAAAATACGCTACGGAATAATTTTTTTTTTTTGCAGAAGAAATAAAACACGTATTGCACATTTCGAAGCCGAAATATTTAATAGTTTCGCCTAAAATGTACGAAGCGCACGAGGCGACGTTGAAGTTAATCGATTCTATAGAGACAACCATTTTATTTGGCGACGATGCGAAAAGACCCGCTCTATATTATTTCAACGATTTAGTTGCGAGTGTCGGCTCAGATATCGATATTGAGAATTTCATCGCAGCCGACGTTGATGTGCACGACGTTTTGTTCATACTGTATTCTTCGGGAACTACCGGCATGCCAAAAGGAGTGACATTAACTCATTTAAACGCCATAGCTGTTTGTTGTATGTGAGTATTCGCATGAGCTAACTTTTACGCTATCGAGAACGTTTAAAAACTCGCACTAACAGATTACAACGAGATTTTTCCGTAGCTTTGGTAGTCTAGAGTCGAGAGTAGTCCAGCTACGCCCGGACGGGTGGGTGAGCTCACGGGCTCAACCCGAGAGAATTTGCTAACACTAGCCCTAGCAAGAGCAGTACTTTACTGGTGCCAGGACCTCTTGTGAGTCCGCACGGACTACCACCACCCTACCTTTATCTGCCGTGAAGCAGTAATGCGTTTCGGCTTGAAGGGTGGGGCAGCCGTTACTGAGACCTTAGAGCTTATATCTCAAGGTGGGTGGCAGCATAGCAGCGCGTATACTTAGCCAATAGTATATATTGTTGTTGTGATATTGTTGTTCTATGAGCTATATACTATAAGCTATTATATTATAGCGTAGTCTGAAAGCAGCTTAACTGCACTTGTCAAAAGTGATGCAGTTTTAATAATCTTAATAGCTATTTGTTTTGAACGATCTTCTATAATACATTTCTTAATCTTCGATGTATAGGCCGGCCATTCTAGATCCAGAGCTCAGTAGTCTGAACATAAGAGGATGGCACCACATCTCTGGTCTGCTGGCTGTCTCGGCAGCAATGGCTTTTGGAAGGAGAGGTCTGTACCTGGATAATTTCGAATTGGAATTATTTTTGAAAACAATCGAGAAATATAAGGTAGGTAAAGTGATGTATTTTTAATACGCTTTTATTAGCTTCAGACGTATGTATGTTAGTATGTAACGGAATCTTTGAACTTTGATTTGACCCCCTTCAAAACGTCGGATTAACTCGAATTTTGGCATACTTATTAAGGACGAATGACAATTCAATATTTATTTAAAAAAATCGAAAAAATTGAAATACAACTAAAAAATGAAAAATAAATAATAGTTNGTGATGTATTTTTAATACGCTTTTATTAGCTTCAGACGTATGTATGTTAGTATGTAACGGAATCTTTGAACTTTGATTTGACCCCCTTCAAAACGTCGGATTAACTCGAATTTTGGCATACTTATTAAGGACGAATGACAATTCAATATTTATTTAAAAAAATCGAAAAAATTGAAATACAACTAAAAAATGAAAAATAAATAATAGTTTAAAGAAACTAAAAAAAACGCTTTTATAAAAAATCCAACTAAAAAATAGAAAATAAATTTAAATAAATTTGAATTAAAAATAGCGTAAGAAAAAACGATTTTATTGTAAAAAAGCGTGGGTTGCTTTTTAGGATATTATCAAAATAACTCTTCTACTCATATCTGTTCATAAAATATTTATAACTACTGATACCATGCACCTAGTGACATATTGAAAACGTAGCTTTGAAGATTCCGTAGTTGGTTTTTGAGGGGATTGTATGTATTAGATGTTTATTCGTTTTTAGAATTGAGAAGGACAGAAGAGACAGTCCACTAGCTTTTTGAGTATTTTTCCTTGGGAAAATGGGCCCGTCCGCCCCTTTTCACCACTTGACAGTTCTTGGAGACAGAGCTGATACGCATGCGTCATGATAATCGCCTTATCGTAGCCGCCGCTGACTACTCCCCGAATCCTGATCACGCAGGAGTCAGTCACCGTCGACGCCCTAGACACGTCCTTACGGATCCATCAGATCCAATAACCTTTGCATTAGACGCCTTCAGCTCTAACACTTATATTGTTTTTGCGTTTCTCTTTTTGGCGGTATTTTTTTGAAAGGATTTTATGACCTGGTAACGAAGACCTTTAGGTCAAGTCTTATTTTAATTTATATTCTTATTTTTATGTAAAATGATAATATGGAGTGAAATCACAATTAATCAACTGAGATGAAATCAAATGAAATGAGATGAGATTATATGGGATGAAATGTAATCTCAGTAAAATGGTGGTCATTTACTGAGATTTTTTCAATGGACTTTTTGGAGGATCCCGTGAAGCTACGGCGGCTTTGTTTCATTTTCCCACATTTGTGCACTTTCACAGACACTAAATAGTTAATAAACCACAGTTATTACGCGTTTAAACCTGAATAAATACTAAATAGACAAAATAAAACAAATCACACAACTTCACTGCTCGCGTTCCTGCCCAAAAAGTCTGTTTTGGCGGTATTTTTAATAGTGTCACAGATTATACAAGAGAATCTATGTGTATTCAACCTTTTTGTAATGAGTTTACGAGGGAATATTGAAGGTAGATTAATTAAATAAGGCTTTCTTTCATTAACAAACACCTTCCAGGTAGCTCAGGTGGTCGTGGCGCCTACAGTTCTGGTCGCAATGTGTAAAAGCGACGCTAAATACGACTTGAGCTCTTTAAGATTTATATATTCATCGGTCGCTCCACTACACAAGGAGACGATAAGCGCTGCTTATAAAAAGTAAATGTTTCATTTATTTATTACTTTTTGATCTCGAAGGGGCATGATATTTCAATTATTTTTTATTCCTTAGATACCTCACCGGACGAGCTCACGGCCCACCTGGTGTTAAGTGGTTACTTGAGCCCATAGACATTTACAACGTAAATGCGCCACCCACCTTGGGATATAAGTTCTAAGGTCTCAATATAGTTACAACGGCTGCCCCACCCTTCAAGCCGAAACGCATTACTGCTTCACGGCAGAAATAGGCGGGGTGGTGGTACCTACCCGCGCGGACTTACAAGAGGTCCTGCCACCAGTAAAGTCATCGATATATTATCGATGAGTAAAGTATATACTAAGGATAGAACAGAAAAAAAAGCTTTACAATTATTATACAGGGTGGCCCATAAGTCCTTTGATATGAAAAAAAATTATTAAAATAAAACTAATTACATTATGAATTAAATTTTTATTTACATAAAAAGCTTAAAAAACGGGAATTATTTTTTGAAAATAACATCTCCTAAATGTAATCCGTTGCGATCACGGCACTCTTGCAAACGACGTCTAAAATTGTCGATGACTGCGCGGCACGTCACTGCTGAAATGCTTGTCATTTCTCTGCGGATGTTTTCTTTTAGGGCCTCAATTGACCGCGGGTTTGTGTCGTATACTTTAGCCTTAAGGTAGCCCCACAAAAAAAAATCCATCGGGGTCAGATCTGGACTACGTGGAGGCCAGGAAATGTCTCCTCTCTTAGAGATAACTTTGCCAGGAAAAAGTTGACGGATAACGGGCATAGCAGTGTTAGAGGTGTGAGAAGTGGCCCCATCCTGTTGAAACCACGTCCTGGCATTAAAGCCTGAAAAGTTTTGCAATTCTGGTATGAAAAACTCTTCGATCATAGCCACATATCGCTTACGAGTTGACTGTGTCGGATTTTCGCGAATAGACTGTGTCACTGTGTCTATGTTTTGTTCCGTACGTGACGTCCTTGGGCGACCCAACCGCGGTTTATCTAACGTCGAACCGGTCTCCTCGAACTTAGCAACCCAGTTCTTAATCGTTTGAAGAGTTGGAGTGTCGTCAAAGTTGTGTAAACCTTTGTGTTCTCGAAATTTACGCCGCGCAACGGTTGCCGAATTGTCGTTTTTATAAAACTCGCGCACACAAAACGCACGGTCCGCTCCGGTAAAACGCTATATCGAGACTAAATTCCCAGAAACCGAAGTTACTCCCCCCGCTTCCCCTGCACCGCTCACGCGCGCCCTGTTCGTTTTATTCAAATTTTACTTTTCAAAGGACTTATGGGCCACCCTGTATAATCAATATGTTCTCTAAATTGAATAGTAATTAAATCAAATAAAAAATACGTACTCACACTTAGAAATTCAATCCTTTCGGAGTTCTATTTTGCACGTTTACGTAATATAAAACGCCCTTAAATTAAACCTTTATAATTAAAACTTCTTGTTGTTACTCACAAATACAACTCACATGAGGTCCTACCACCAGGTTTTTGATTTTTATTACACGATGTTATTCCTTCACCGTGGAAGTCGATCGTGAACATTTGTCGAGTACGTATTTCATTAGACAAATTGGTACCCGCCAGCGGGATTCGAACACCGGTGCATCGCTCGATACGAATGCACCGGACGTCTTATCCTTTAGGCCACGACGACTTCAAAATCAGGTAGGTGCTCAGACAGCTCCTTCTTTTTGGCTCCGACCCCTGAATCGTCTCGTCCACTTTAACCCGTCACTATGTGTCTCTCTAAGCGGTCCATAAATGACAAATTCTTTCTTAATCAGATTGCCCAACCTTAAAGCCGTCCTCCAGGGCTACGGTTCGTCGGAGACCACGCTGGTCATCATCAGATACACGTACAAAGATGCGGATATAGTCAAGTCCGGCAGCGTGGGACTGGTCGCTCCCAATTGTATCGTGAAGGTAATAAAATTAGGCTATGCTAAAATATGCTAGCGCTATGACATGTCCTTCTTCAAACGAGGCTTGTGGAGAGAATTAAGCGGTAGGCAGCGGCTTGGCTCTGCCCCTGGCATTGCTGAAGTCCATGGGCGACGGTAACCACTCACCATCAGGTGGGCCGCATGCTCGTCTGCCTACAGAGGCAATAAAAAAAAAGAAAAAAAAACAACACAATGGAACAAGGATAACATAATTGAATTTTTTACAATAAATATTTTCTTCGGTTTTCACGATGCAATTAAAACTATTTTTACGATTTAACCTCGCATTTCTTTGCCGTCGTCTATAAAACTGTATTGAATTCGAAACGTCACGAATAATATATAGTGACAATAATAAAATGCGAGATTAAATCGTAAAAATAGTTTTAATCGCAATAATAAGTATCTCGTTTGTATTTATATGCATATCGAGAGGTGAAAGGATATTTGGTTTATCAACATCTTTGCAATTTTACAGTTTAAGCTTTGGAAAAAATTTCATAACAACAAAAACTTCTTCAAATATTTGAACGGGTTAAACTTAATTTAAGATCAATTAAAAACCACCAAATCTACTGATTGATACTAATACCAAATAAAACGAACCTTTAATTACAAAGATAAATATCGTGTATTAAGGTTGCTTAAACCAAATAAATAAGCTTTCACCCCTCGATATAATAAAGTACAAGCTCTTTATTCGAGCTTCCACAAACCCGTCGTTTACGACGAAGGGCTCGACGAGTAAATTAACCCACAGACACAGCCCACTGAGTTTCTCGCCGGATCTTCTCAGCGTGTCGCGTTTCCGATCCGGTGGTAGATTCCGCGAAGCACTGCTCTTGCTAGGGTTCGTGTTAGCAACACACCCGGTTTGGGCCCCGTGAGCTCACCTACCTGAATGAAGACCTTTTACTGTACAATTACTTGTCTCGATAAATGGTAGAGCTAGAAAATTGGAGTTTTGGCAAATCGAACCGTTAATATTGTGAGAACTAAATACAGATTTGTCGATATTTCAACCCTAAGGGATTGATCACTTTAAAGTAAGACCGCACACGAAAATTTGAATACCAGCTTTTGGATAGAAGTTAATGTAAACATGTCTTGACGTTTATTTTTAAGTTACGCCGAAAGATTTATATTTGTATGCTGTCATTTCTGAAGGAAAACACGCGAAATTCAATCTTAAAACTTTAAATATAAAGCTGAAATGAAAATTTAGCAAATATAATTTATGTGCCATAACTGCAATATTTAATAATAACACGACAACCCTGATACATACGAGCGAAGACGGTACAATTCGCGAATGTATCAAATACTCATTATAACATGTTTCTAACACATTTTTTGTTCTCGGCCTTTGAAATTTGCACATGCATAGTGAAAGTATAATTTTATTAACTACTAGCTTTTGCCTGCGACTCCATCCATCCGCGTGGAATGGTTACTTTGGCATAACGCTAAATTTTACCGCCACTTCATTTTCGTAGAAAATGAAAATATTTTTGAATTATAGAATGTTAAGGAGCCGTTTAAGCCCCTATTTTGAAACATTCTTTATTGGTGCTCCGCCTGCATTGCTCTCAGCGTGATGTTATATATGAGTCGTCTATTATCAAAGGCGGCAATCTGTACATTTGGACAAATTTTTTTTATTGATATGTCAATACAGATTTATTTGAATATAATCGTCTCCTTCAAAGAATACGGTTCAAAACCTGCATTAAATAAAGGTTAATAGTTAACCTGTTATTTATCTAAGATGTCGTTCCGAAGAGTTTTGTGACTGCCAATGGAATACAAAGTCAATAATTCGTTTTTCTGATTTACCAATCATTGTCCAAAAGTCAGATTGCCGGCTTTGATAATAGTCGACTCATATATAGCCTAATATAAATGGGCTATATATATAACTATCTAACACTGAAAGATTTTTTCCAATCGGACCAGTAGTTACTGATATTAGCGCGAAAAATCCCAAACAGCTAAAACTATAGTCAATTGGATTGGATATTGACGTGACCGTCGGTAATACAGTGCAACAGTATTACAGTACTCAGGATCGGAACTTCATTACTGAACCGGTAGATGGCGTTGAAGAAGCTAGATTTTGAGATTTTTTGACAAACAATTTTTTAATATTTCGTAAAAAAACTTTTTTTTTTTTCTTAATAAAAGTATCCTATGTTACTTCTAACGCCTCCAAGAATATGTGTACAAAGTTTCATGATGATCGGTTGAGTAGTTTTCGCGTGAAAGCGTAACAAACAAACTTACATTCACATTTATATATTAGTAGGGATTTTATTGCTTCATACCGTTGAATGCGTTCGCGCCCCGCCTGAAGTAAAGTCGTTACGTGACGTTATCTAAATAGGCAATTTTAAAACCGGTCATGATATCTTCCAACTGATTTAAACTGAAGAAAATATTGTAATACTAGCGACCGGCGAAGCGAAGCGAGGGGCTTCGCTTCGGTAACATTTTATTATTGAGTCCCGCGACGTTACCCGCGGTTATTGTCGTACCGCGGGTGACGCCGCGGGGCCAAGCTAGTCTTAAAAAAAGTAGCCTAATTTACTCCTTATATCATCAGTTACCTATCAGTGAAAGTCTCGTCAAAATCGGTCCAGCCGTTCCAGAGATTAGCCGGAACAAACAGACAAAGAGACAGACAGACAGACAAAAATTGTAAAAATGTTATTTAGGTGTATGTACCGTATATTCATATGTATGTAGTAAAAAGTGGTTATTTCAACATTACAAACAGCCACTCAAATTTTATTTATATGTATAGAATATCAGTAAGTATAGTAACAAGTATGTACGTATAGGTGGTCGACATAAAAGATCAAAGACCCTTAGGACCAAATCAGGAAGGGGAAATCTACGTAAAGGGTCCGCTCCTCATGAAGGGCTACATGGGGAGGGCCAGGTCCGACGACTTCGATGACGAAGGCTTCTACAGGACCGGGGACGCGGGCTACTATGACGAGGATGGACACTTCTACATCTGCGACAGGATTAAGGAATTCATCAAATGCCACGGATACCAGGTTGGTTGTTACACGAAATCGATGGATTCGTTTTTTGAAGTGAAACTTCTTTATTGGCGTAGGGAGGAAAAATCATATGTAACGATTTTCGGTTACGCGCCATCTTAATTTCTTCCGTTACGCGCCATGTTTATTTTATTTCTATTTAGTTTGTTATCAGCAGATGTCGCTGCACGTAAATTCAATAATTCCTGAATCGCGGTGACGAGATGTTACACAGTTGATAGAGGTTCTCGTTTTTCTCTTCCTAAATCATACCTACCTGGCGTCGGGATACCGTGTTCATGCAGGCGGTTCCCCCGGGGTGCGGCTGCTCCATTGCGCTGCGGAGTGGTTGACCCTTGCGATTATATTTATAATTCATAAGATTCACTTCTATCGTGTGTGAGACGTGAGTCGCACACACACTTTTTTTTAAGTAATTTTATGACCTGGTAACTAAGACGTTTAGGTCAAGTCTTATTTTAATTTTAGTGAAAACTTTTTTTTATATGAAAAATTATATGAAATGAAATGAAGTTGATTAATATGAAACATGACATGAAATGAAATGATATGGGATGAAAGATAATCTCAGTAAAATGGTGGTCATTTACTTAAGACTTTTTCAGTGGACTTTTTGGAGGATCCCGAGAAGTTACTTTCAGTGGCTCTGTTTCATTTTCCCCCATTTATGTACATTACATTTGAGATATAAGTTCTAAGGTCTCAGTATAGTTACAACGGCTGTCCCACCCTTCAAACCGAAACGCATTACTGCTGCACGGCAGAAATAGGCAGAGTAGTGGTACCTACCCGTGCGGACTCAAGAGGTTATCCCACCCACTTAACACCAGGTAGACCGTGAGCTCTTTAAAACAACTACGCAATAAAAAAAAACGCTCTCCGTTTATTCATAGGTTCCACCAGCTGAAGTAGAAGCTGTGTTACTCCTGCATGACGCAGTAAGAGAAGCCGGCGTTATCGGGCTGAAGGATCCGGATGCCGGGGAGATTCCACTGGCCTTCGTCTCTTTACAGCCAGGGAAGGAAGTCACCGAAGAGGAATTGAAGGAGTTTGTTGCGAAACGGGTCGGTGTGAGATTTGCTATGAGATGGTCGCGAATGCTTATGACGTGCACCACGGATAAACATGTCAAATAATAATATATCGAGGGGTGAAAGGCTATTACGTCATTTTTATCCACTAACGGTGCTTTTAGGCACCACAAGCACCGGTCCCCGTCCTCGTCGAACCCGTCGCTTGCGACGAAGGGCTCGACGAGCGAATTAAGCCATAAACACAGCCTACTGAGTTTCTCGCCGGATCTTGTAAGTGGGTCGCGTTTCCGATCCGGTGGTAGGTATATTCTGCGAAGCACTGCTCTTGCTAGGGTCAGTGTTAGCAACACTACGGTTTGAGCTCCGTGAGCTCACCCACACGTTAGAGTGAAGCTGAAATAGCCTCTCAAGGCTATCAGCATAGGTAGGAAAAAAAACGTCATTTCGGATCCTCCCAATCCACTAACTGTTTTTTTAGGTACCTCAAATAGCAACCGGTCATGAAGCCGGTTCAAGCACCGGTCATCGTTCTCGTCGAACTCGTCGCTTACGACGAAGAGTTCGAAGAGTAAATTAACCCACAGACACAGCCCACTGAGTTTCTCGTCGGATTTTCTCAATTACGACTACCCTGCCTATTTCTGCCGTGCAGCAGTAATACCTACGTTCTATTTGAAGGGCAGGACCGACGCTATACTGTTAAATCGGAAACCTAGAACTTATGTCTCGAGGTGAGTGGCGGCATTTACGTTGTAGATGTCTATGGGCTCCGCTAACCGGTAACAACTGAACACGAGATGGGCTATGAGCTCGTTCACCCATCAAAGCAAAAAAAAACCGTTTTAAAATAGAGGGTTTTAATCTTTTATCTTTTTTTTTTAAAGTTTGTTTGTACACAACATTATTTTCGATGCGATGCTATTTCTCAATCGCGAAATTGATTTGAGTTTTTTTTTATTTATTGCTTAGATGGGAGGACGAGCTCATAGCCCACCTGGTGCTAAGTGGTTACTGGAGCCCATAGACATCCACAACGTAAACGCGCCACCCACCTTGAGATATAAGTTCTAAGGTCTCAGTATAGTTACAACGTCTTTCCCACCCTTCAAACCGAAACGCATTACAGCTTCACGGCAGAAATAGGCATGGTGGTGGTATCCACCCATGCGGACTCACAAGAGGTTCTCCCACCAGTAGTAAATATGTGTTAACTACTATTAGTATTTAGACTAATTGGTACCTGTCTGCGGGATTCGAACACCGGTAGAGTTGCATCACTCGATACGAATGCACCGGACGTCTTATCTTTCAGGCCACGGGAGCTTGTGTGGGTGCTTTTTCTTAGGGTCCGTCGTGCTTAGCGTTTAACTTATAACTGAAATTTACTTTTCAGTTGTCTGATCCGAAACACCTGAGAGGGGGATTGCGCTTTGTCGATAATGTACCGAAGAACAAAAACGGAAAACTGGACAGGAACGAACTAAGGAGAATGGCTAATTCATTATAAACTAGTGCTCGTCTAAGTGGTCGAAATTCGACCTTATTTTATTTAAATTATAAGTTTGAATATTGTTATGGTTGTACTGTTAAAGAAGGCTTATTATACTTATATAATCAGAGATTTCGCCAAGACTACACTATAGGCAAATAATATTAAAGACGAATAATATTAATCTATTCTCAATTTGATCACAGACTTTAACAATAACCAAAAGTTTGACAAAATAAATATGTGCTGTGTCAAATACACGGTAATGTGTGTAATATTTTTATTTTATTGATTTAATGTATTTTATATGCTTCATTAAAAAAAAAAATTAGCATCCTGCACTCCTTTTTTCTATAAGTGTGGAAAATTTCATACTCCTCCGTACGCGCAATTTTCGTAAAAAGGGATACAAAGTTTTTGCTTCACGTATTAATATATAGATAAATTCAACAGTGGACAGTTTTATTTAAGCCCCATAATGCGGCGCTGGCGGGGGGTTAAATGTTTTCATGATTCGGCTCTAAGCCTCACATCGATTGATATCAACATTATGCCTTCTCGAATTGAAACTATGTGCTTAGTTAACTAAACTGGAAATATTATTCCGTTTTGTAATTTAGGTACAATAAAATATATATTACATACATTTCACATAAGATGGAATTTCTGTATGATATATCATTAACTTTCTAATGGTCTGATGTTTTCAGAGCCATCACGGGTAGGTACCACCGCCCTGCCTATATCTGTCGTGAAGCAGTAATGCCTTTCGGTTTGAATAGTAGGGCAGCCGTTGTATTGTAAAAATAAGGCTTTCGAACGCATGTCTCGAGATGAGTGGCGGCATTCACGTTGTAAATGTCAATGGGCTCCGGTAACCACTTAACACCAGGTGGCCCGTAAGCTCGTCCTCAATCTATGCATGAAAAAAAACTTATCAGAAATTGAGAACGGACGGAGACGAGAGACATTTGTCACGCGTCACGATATATAAAATTTGACGTTAACAAAACGCGACTCGCAAACCGATTACTATTAAAAACTGTTATGTAAAAAGCATTTCACCTCCAAACTTCTCGCTTTTGTGATTTTGAGTCATTCAAGTTACGACGGTCGGCCAGAGCACTTTCGATTTCACAAAAATATCCCCAAAATCGATTCGCCGACCGTCGCAAATTCGATACTAAATAATCGATTTTACAAACAACATCTGAATAGTTTTACTAAAAATTGATTATTCAAATATTGCAATTGGTGTGTCGGAAAAAAAAATTGTATCACGACTGAAATAAACATAAAATTAATAAGACACATAATAAAAAAACGTTAACTATCGTCTTAACAATATCAAGATGAATACAAAAACGCTTTTGTTCCACAAAATTATTATCGTATTATCAATCTTTGACGGAAGCCTAGTGTTGTGCGATAATCGATCGGGTAATTTATTAGAAACGAAAAATGTATCGCGCGAAAAGAACTTATTATCGATCGAAGAAGAATACAATAGTGATGTGCTAAAAGATATCGGTAAAGATACGGACGCTGTGAATCGTTACGAAGACATAACGGTTCTGAGGAACGGTCAATTGGTGAACTTGAAGCACAAAACGGCTGTGAAAATGCCATTTGGTTCTCAGGACCTGATCGACAATAGCAATAGTGCGGTGACAAGTGACAGACTCAATTCGAATTTACCAGTGAAATCTAAGTTTTTCGATGAGATCGACGAATGTGAGTACTTTAAATTTATTTGATGCGTAGATGAGCGAACACTGGTGGTAGGACACCGGGGCAGCCGTTGTAACTATACTGAGACCTTAGAACTTATATCTCAAGGTGGGTGGCGCATTTACGTTCTAGATGTCTATGAGCTCCAGTAACCACTTAACATCAGGTGGGCTGTGAGCTCGTCCACCCACGTAAGCAATAAAAAAAAAGAACAAACTTATATCCCGGTCAAAATAAAGTCACAGCGAATTTTGACTTAAATTACTATCTCCTACTTATGTTTATTCTATCTCCTTTTTATTCAAACTATGTTAAAATTCGTGTAGTACGCAAACATTACGTATGATACTAGGCTTAGTACCTACTGAAGTATTGATCTAGAATCCTTCGTAAAGGTCAATCCTAAAATAGGTTCTATTTTTGTTATCTACAGTAATCCAATCGATCAACATTGTACCCAAAGGAACAACATTGATAATTCCTTGGCGCTCTACAAACTTTTGATTGTAATTATTCTCAATCTGGCTTCCAGAGGTTACTACAATTACACAAACACTAATCTGTATTAATCTTATATTGTGGCGCCATCTATCGGCTACCATCAACAGCCAAGGAAAGCGGCATCTATCGTTCAGTTCTGGAAGCCTGATAATAACAGCATAGCTTAGCATCGATGCAGGTTAAATTAGAGGTGCTTTTAGGTACTACAAGCATCGTTCACCGTCCTCGTCGAACCCGTCGCTTGCGACGAAGGGCTCGACGAGCGAATTAACCCATAGACACAGCCCACTGAGTTTCTCGCCGGATCTTCTCAGAGGTTGCGTTTAGGATCCGGTGGTAGATTCTGCGAAGCACTGCTCTTGCTAGGGCCAGTGTTGTCAACACTCCGGTTTGAGCCCCGTGAGCTCACTTACATGTTAGGGCGAAATTAAAATAGCCTCTCAAGGCTATCAGCATAGGTATGAAAAAAAAGATTCAGTAGACTACTTCACAGGTGGAAATTTTGACTCCAGATATTCAGACATAGCTCATTAGGTTTAGGTACTCGCTGGTGTTTCTAAAACGTTGCCCGTTTAGATGTGCAGCGTTAAAGTCTTTAAGCATACTATGATAGGGTTGAAATCGGAGCTCATAATTGTTATATGCTAGACTTAGATACCATAGAACAGATACAACCCGATCCGTCCAAAAGCCATTGCCGCCGAGACCGCCATCAGACTAGTGAGGTGTTGCCATCCTCTTATGTTTAAACTGCTCAGCTCTGGTTCGAATAAGGTCGACCTAGATATTGAAGATTAAGAAATGTATTAAAGAAGATCGTACCAGACAAGTGGCTTATTAGACTGTGGCACTTTTGGTAAGTACAATTTAGGACGATCCCAAATAACTAACAAAAACATTCGGCATAGAAGAAAATGACGTCAAACGTAGTGTTTTAGTCGGAATAAATTATCTTTTGATGCAGAGACGGTAATTTGAGGAGCATTCTAATAAATTCTTGAATGGACTGTGTAAAAGAAGTTAAGCGACAGAAGAGTGTGTGTGAAAAATGCCATATGATAGGACTGAATGGAAAAAGAAGGACACGCTGCGCCAACTCCACGAGGTTGGATAGGAAAGGATAAGAAGAAGTGCTCTACAGGGCTAATTCACAACAAACCAACACCTAGTCAGTAGTATTGATAAATTATCGTAATTTATAAAAAAAACTGTGCACATGTCTGTAGCATACTTTAGCGTTTACGAATAACTTACCAACTCGACATTCACACGATTCTTCTTCTTCTTTATTGTTTCCTCATTACTGAGGGTCGTGACCACCTTGGTCCAGTTTTTGCACCAGCTTCCTCCAATGTTGCCTGCATTCGGCCTGCTTAATGGCGCCCGGGACGCTGGTGTTTGTGGCCTCCTTGACAATGTCCGTCCACCTGGTTGGCAATCTGCCTCGATTAATCGATCCATTAATATACTGGTGGTAGGACCTCTTGTCAGTCCGCACCGGTAGGTACCACCGCCCCGCCTATTTCTGCCGTGAAGCAGTAATGCGTTTCGGTTTGAAGTGTGGGGCAGCCGTTTTACTGTAAAAACTGTCACTTAGAACTCATCTCTCAAGATGGGTAGCGGCATTTACGTTGTAGATGTCCTATGGGCTCCAGTAACTACTTAACACCAGGCGGGCTGTGAGCTCGTCCACCCATCTAAGCAATAAATAAAAACTTAAATCGTGAAAATACTTAGGTTAGACAAACATAGCCACAAATCTTGATACACAATCTTACAATGAAATATTCATCACAACAAAACGCTTCCCCGTTTTAAGAAAGGCGGAAAAAAAGTATAACTTAAAAAAAATAGCGCTAATTTTAATAGTCGGTTTAAAAAATAACAATAAAGTTTAGATACGTAAGAATAGGTAATCTGTTGCTGTGTATCGTTACGCCATAGGCGTACCAACTCGGACGGAGTGAAAGCCGCATCCGGCAATGTTCGTTAGTCATTGTTGTAAGGCTGCGATCATAGTGACCTTGCTTTAAAAAAAAAAAACAAAAAAACCCGTAGGTACCCAAGATACGAATAAAAACATGAACATTCTCATCTGTATCCCGGTCGACGTCGCCCAAAACACCTCATTACGGATCCTCCTGATCCATTAACGGTGCTTTTAGGTACCTCAAGCACCGGTCACCGTCCTCGTCGAACCCGTCGCTTGCGGCAAAGGGCTCGATGAGTGAATTAACACACAGACACAGTCCACGGAGATTCTCGCCGGATCTTCTCAGTGGGCTGCGTTTCCGATCCGGTGGTAGATTCTGTGAAGCACTGCTCTTGCTAGGGCCATTGTTAGTAACACTTCGGTTTGAGCCCCGTAAGCTCACCTACATGTTAGAGTGAAACTGAAATAGCCTCTCAAGGCTATCAGCATAGGTGGGGAAAAAAAATGTCTCCCGTGGGCGTTCTAATTATATCGAATGTAGGTGATGGTTGAAAGGTAAAACAAAATGAAATAGCCCAGTTTTTCGGACATAGCCACTACACGTTCAAGAAACACACTTTAAATGTTGATATTTATATAACGAAATAGCAAGATAATATTGAAATCAATATGCCTCGCTGGGGAATAAGTGTTTGCGTAATAGGCCTTTGCTAGGTTCATGTGTTTCCATCGTTAACTCACTTACACAGCACACTGAGTTTCTCGCCGGGTCTTCTCAGTGGGTCACGTTTCCGATCCATTGGTAGATTCTGAGAAGCACTGCTCTTGCTAGGGCTAGTGTTAGAACGTCACAAAGTTAGAGCCCCCCGAGCTCACCTACTTGCTCGGCGAATCTAGTATAATCTAGGTTAGTGGATTAAGTAGGAAAAAAGTCTCCACCATTCGTTCTTGGTCACGCTTGAATTCCTA